ATGTTGTATTTGAAGTTCTACAGGTCCAAATATCATACATATATACTTTATGTACACTGTAAGATATCTTATATTTCATATCCATATACTACATAATGTATATCAGGGTAACAGCTTAGATGAGAAAACAGAACATAAGGGATATTGATAGCTATAACAAAAATTGAAAATACAACCAAAGCCTCTTACCTAATCCACCATACACTGCATCAGCAAATGGACCACAGGGTCGGTCAGCAAAGGCATCCCCCTGGTTAACCAGAGCATCCTTCACCAGTTGATAGCCCATCACAAACACAATTTTCTCTCTTCCCAGGCGCAGGCTAAAAACATCACCGTAGTTTTCTGCCAGCTTGGAAAATGCTGACAATTATTATTTTGTCTTGTTCATTTTAATTCAGAGATAAGCATTGCCCTACCAATAAATTAGCAGAAGTCATAATTTTAAGTATTACAATTATGTGTTACACCCTTATCAAGGGGCATGAATAACAAAGTTTTTCATTAAATGTATTGTAGTGCCCTGGTGTTGTGGCCGAAAAGCAAGAAAAGGGGCTGGACAGGAGGAGTGTCCAGGGCGTGAACTAGGAAAGCCACTGACCAGTGCAGCTGACCAATTGTGGAACTGGTGTTCACAGTAGCGAGATCGCCTGGACTTATGTAAACAGTTTCCCTGGTTTTGCACCCCTTTTATACATGTACCCAATTACCACCCTATACCTGTGTAACTGTACCCGAATTGACACCAGTGTGTTGTAGCCTGTTTGTTTTTTTCTCTCTCTTCTTGTTGTGGTTGCTGTGTCAGACACACACACGTCGGATTTATAAAGAGCTGTGTTTTCAGTCAACAAGAGTCCAAATTCCTGTCTTTATTCTCCCCAAGCCCGTAGCGTTATAGTATGTACAAAAGGGACTCAGTACAATATAATTAAATTACAATAAGGCAAACATAATAAAAAATGAAGTGCAATTCAAGTCGTTCTAAAACAACAGCAATAAATTTAGCCAGTAACGCAGAGAAGTGCCGGTTCCCCCGGTAGCCAAGCAACACCTTAAAGTGCCTTCTGGGTGTGAACAGCAGCTGCCAGGGGTCAGAACGGCTCCTCGGTGCCATCGATGGCCACAGCCCTTATCAGGGCTACTCGACAGCAGCCTACCCAGCGGAGAAAGGACTATTTCCCGCATCTACCCAACCGATGTGGCGGGACAGAGACGCCGGTGCAGCTGAGCCACTATAATGGGGAGGTGCAATGGCAGCTTTATGAGGCCCAATTCCAGATGGCCTGGGCAAACGGCTGGTCCCAGGGGGAGATGGAGCATTTTGCCCAGGAGTGGCGGCACCGGAGTCCCAGAGCCCTCAGAGGCCGTAGGGAAACGAGAGTGGGGTGGCCTAAAGGGGGGAAAGCCGCCCTTGAACAACACCACCCCCGCTCCAGAGAGCCAGGAGGAGTGCTTCACCCCATCTGCTGCCGTGGGAAGGGTTGGCCACAGCTGGGGTTTGTTTCTCCCCTGCTTCATCCAGGGCAGACCCTGCCAGGCCCTGGTCGACATCAACTCGACCATCAGCCTGCTGCAGACCAATATCCTGCTGGGCACTAAGGCAGCTGGATCCCCAGGATGAGAAACCACCAGCCTGTGCCTGAGGACTGTGACGGGGTAGTGCGCACAGGTCCTCGGCAAGCAGGCACTCACATTGCAGTTTGGGGCTGCTAGGGTAAAACACCCTTTCTACCTCACCCAAATCCACAAGGACTGTATCCTGGTTTTTGACTGGTTGCAGCAGGTGGGTGGTTGCATTGCTTGGGCCGGTGGTAGTTGGTGGGGCAGGGGGAACGGATCTGTCTCGCGGCGGGCAGGTGGGCTGACTAGAGTGGGAAGCGGAGGAGCTGGCAGTGGGCATTGCCCGCTGTTGGAGCCGCATGTCTTGGGGCAAGCATGCGGGAACCAGCTCCTGGGCAGCCTGGACGGGTGGTTGGTGGGGTGGCTGCTGAGGAAATGCGAGAGGCAGAAACCAGCCAGGCTATTCGATGGCGACGGCCACTGGCCAGTGCAGCTGACCGATTGCAGAACCAGTGTGCACAGTCGTGAGATCGCCTGGACTCATGTAAATAGTTTCCCTGGTTTTGCACCCCTTTTATACATTTATACAATTACCACCTTGTTTTTTTTTTCTCTCCTTGTGGTCGCTGAGCTGGATACACGTCTGATTTATAAAGCGTCGTGTTTTCAGTCAACAAGAGTCCAAATTCCTGTCTTTATCCTCACTGAACCCGTCGCGTTACAGTATATACAAAAGGGACTTAGTACAATATAACTAAATTACAATAAGGCAAACAGAATAAAACACAAAGTGCAATTCAAGTCGTTCTAAAACAACAGCAATACATTTAGCCGTCAAAGAATAGTTTATTTCTATGATTAGCAATTATCATGTATGTTTATATAAATGGAAAATCTAAATTTTCAATCCCATAAAAATAGATCACATACCTTTCCCATGTAAATATGCGGATGTTTAGTATCAATATTAAAGACGTTCCCCACGAAGGGTAGTCCCCAGGGTCCGGGAGGAAAGTTCTTGGGATTCTTGTTCTTGACAATGTCGATTATCAGCAGAAACACCGCAAGGAAAAGCAAGATACTTTGGGCATCAAGCCCTTCCAGAATATAATGCAACATGCTAATGAGATATTCTTGCTATTCACTACTACAATCACACTGTTTTTGAAAATGTGGGTGTG